CCACCTCTTAGTAATAATAATATTATTTGTACATACGTGCTTTAAATTTTACAAGTGCATTCTTGCATAAAACCTTGTAATTAATCATGTAACAAATGCAAGTTATCTAAAATGACATATGAACATTTATTGCAATATCCATCATAATGCAATAAAAGAGATGAACTTTACATTTGAATATTTGAAATATAATCCACCATATAAAATAGAATTTTAAAAGATGCACCTCTTTGATTTGGTTCGCTCATATATTGATCATTTATCATTAGGCAATATATGATGCAAGAAGCGTAATTAAATAAATGCATATGAATTTTTCTCATAATTCCGGTCCTCCTATTCATGCTTGAATATAAATATTTCACATGAAATCATAAACATTATAACAATTATCAAATAAATAAAAGGGTTTACAACTGACCATTTGATATGGATGTGACTTGAGTCCAACTCCGGTATTGACTCCTTTGGGTTGGTTCACAATGAGTTTGGTATAAATCAATTAATGAATTGAAGTTCTTCAAAAACATATTAGCAATATTGCTCATGTGTGGATATAGTTTCGAGAGAGATTTAGCATATGTATTGACAACGAGGAACTGCTTGTTATAAGATAAATGATGCTCTCTTAGAGTGCTACAAACTCAGTAGAGAAACCAATTTTTTTTTAATTAAAAGAAATAGCTGAGGGCAGCTAAATGTACCTGCTTGACCGAACTATGCTATGTGGACAATTATATATTTTTGGTTGATTAAGCTCTATCTAATTGAGCTTAATTAAAACATTTGGCTGAAATCTCATACTTTTGAATATGTTCATGTGTACAGGTTTGATTACTGATTTGTGGGAAGGACTTTGTGTCAAAATGCAGTGAAGGAATGTGTTTGAAACTAAACCTGAAAACATAGATATATGCAATATGTAATGATTATGTGATCAATTTTAATATAATCACTGAAACGAGCTGCTACTCCGATGTAATACTTTTAAGAGTCAAAAGTTGATTGCTGGTTCACACGGGATCCCAATTAACAAAATATGTCAGACCATCATCCCAATTAGCACAGATGGTTATGCATTCATTCATTCTTTCCTTCAATGTTATCAATTAATATTAAAATCAATTACAAGATGCAATTAATTGTAATTAACTGTTAAAATTAATTAGCAGTAATTAATTACAAATTAACAATAATTAAATAAATGTAATAAATGCAATAATTACTAATCAATAATTAACAGCTAAAAATTCTCAGATGAACAGTAATAGTCTCGAATGAACAGTAACAGAAATTTAATTATTATTATTATTATTTCAACAATACTATTAATTACTAGATAAGCAATTAGCAGAAAAAGTTTTTTAATAAACAGTAATTTTCGTTTTATAATGAGAAGTAATTTCTGATTAAATTGTGAACAGTAATTGCAAATTGCACGTAAAAATTGAGTGAACAGTGACTTTCGTTTTTTTTTCTTTCGGATGAACAAAAATATTTTTTAAAAAGAAACAGTGACAGAAAACTTATATTTATTTCAGATTTAATACTTAAGTGCTATAATCTCAATCTTCTAGATTGTTGGAAATTTACCAACTTTAAAGGTTATAGCATGCGGATAAATCCGAATAAAATAAATAAGAGATAAATAAGAGATAATAAAATCAGGCCTGACGGGAGCAGTCGTGTAATCACTGCCCTAGAAGATTGAGAACTCGCCTATCGCTCTGGCGCAAATGGTTCTCCCCCTAGCGGTAAAAGCCCCGGAAACGGCCAGCCTCCGTACTCTAGCGAGAGTACAGAGCTTCAGCTCAGATGAAGAAGATTGCCCAAAAAATTAATAACAAAATTTATAGAGGGGAAAAACAATTTTCTTTAAACCAGAGGAGAGGAGAAAAACTTTATTTTCTTATGTTTTAGAATGTGAATAAGGGTGTATTTATAGGGTTGAGGGAGAGAGGATTCTTTTCAATTTTCCGATATGGGACTAAAACACAAAGGCAAAATTGCCTTTTCTTAATAAATATCCAACATTATTTTCTTGTAAAATTCGAGCAAGGAAATTATGATATATTTCGTCATGTACTCTAAATATAAAAATTTCTTTTTTCTTTGATGCAAGGTCTCTATCAAATCTTACCCCAAACAATATGAATAAAAAATGTTATTATAACTCACTTGCCTGGGGCAATTATGGGCAATTGTATTGTATGTATGACATATACAGTAGTCTCGTGTATTTTCTGGTTCTGACTGCAAAATACGCAAAAGTGGTAGTCTCGTATATTTTTTAATTTTAATTACTTTTATAATTAATGTTCATTAATTACACGAGATTGTTAGCCCCGTGTATTTTAAAGATGGGTTTTTACAAAATCGATCTCTTTTTTGCCAATCTTGATGATGTGACAAAAAAAAGATGTCAATTTTGTTAATTATTATGTACAATAGTTGATTTTGCTAATATTTTTAAAAAGTGATCTTTTTAATAATTCTCCTAAAATAAACTATTTAATCCAAATATGAAATTAGCGAAAAGGCCTAAACATTTTGGGGATTAATTGACCCATAAATAGGGAAACATAATAATTGAGATAAATGTATATTTAAATTGAATCTAACAAGGCACTTCATTGAATAAAGCATGAAATGGATCCAAGAAATTATAAAAAAGAATTAAATAAACTAATTTAAAAAACATGAGGTCGAGGGATAGAGGGAGAGAAGAACTCACCGACATGAATTCTATTTCTATCCGAACGTGATAGCGAAATGTCGAGGGATAGAGGGAGAGAAGAACTCACCGACATGAATTCTATTTCTATCCGAACGTGATAGCGAAATTGGTGGAGAATGAGCGAGGAGAAAAGTCACCGACATGAATTCTATTTCTATCCGAACGTGATAGCGAAATTGGTGGAGAATGAGCGAGGAGAAAAGTGAACAGAATAGGTGACAAAGTTAGTGTGATTATATAATTAGGTTATTAAGATATTCATCCTAAAATCTTAAATACATACATATTAGTTCCTAACATCTTTGTAATTGCTCATTTACAACGATGTTACTATTCAGTATTAAATCAATTTTATTATATAAGATTATATGACCATTTTTAATAAATTATAAAGTATATATATGAAAACTTCAATGCTTATAGGCAGTAGGTTGGCTCCACAAAATATGTAACTTTACATTGTAGTTTGCTATTAGTAAAACTGTTAGCAATGCCATTACCTTTCCTCTTTATATTATGATTCACACTTTTCTGATATAAGTCCTTTTTTGCTAATCACTCAATTGGCTATATTTAGTTTTTATAATATCAGAGGTTAGAATATTCTCTTCTGTTTAAAAAGTGTTAACATGATTTTCTTAAAAAAATATATACACATAGTAGCAATAATATATACTTCAGTTCAACTTAAACATTGGCTTGAAGCCATTTAGAGCGAGGTCCTTTCTACGCAAGAATAGTGATATAGTGATTGCACAATCTAAAAGTTAAAGAAGAAATTTCTACAAAAGAAAAGTAATTTAATATGTCAAATTAACAACTAATTTATAAAATATACATGGGCAGTACAGATAGCTATAGAAAGTAAGGTATATATCTTCATGAAAATTTCATATTGAGTGACTAACTACAATCATCCTAATTTAAGTATAAATAATTATTATTTTAGTTACTAATTTGATACGCGAAACTATAGAATAAATCTCAAGCATAAAATATGAATTAAGATTATATTATCTTGTAGGTAAATAAATAAATGTTATTAGAGCTCATCTTTATATTAAATTTAAAAGTAACTATTTAAATTATTAAGCGTCAAATATTAGTTCATGCGAGAAAGTAAAGTAATCTATGGTCTATATACCTATATAGTCAATCAATCAAGCATATTAAAATTTGTAAAAAGTTTAAAGTGTTTATTGTAAATTCCATAGTTTTTGGGGGGTTATTTGTGTTATTTGTAGGTTTTAAGTGTGTTTATAGGTTTGAAATTATTAAGATGTTTTTTACAAATTTTAAATTTTAGGGGTGTTTTTGTATTATTCAAAACTTACAAGATAATTTCTCCAAAGTTAACAGCATATGTTTTTTAGATTTCTCACTGAATTGAATTGAAATAAGTAAAATTTATAATTTTTAAGATGTTTAATTAAATTTTGAATTTGTAGTTTGAAATTTAAAAAAATTTAGAGAATATTTTTTACAAAGTCCAAAAACTTTTAGGTGATGGCTAGCATATGTTTTTTAGATTTCTCTGCGAACTGAAATAAGTAAATGATTTGAATTATATCAAACATATCTCCTTTATCCAATAACATGTTAAGTCTCACTATGAATAGGGTAAATCATTTAATTATCAATTCAAAAAAGATAGGATAATTAGTATAGATTAGGATAACAATGTAATATTAAAAAAAGTTAAGGGTAATATTGACCATGAAAAGATTTTCCCGAACTTGTACTTTTAAAGGGAGTATGATATAAAGTCTCTTCATATATTGTATGGAATCCTAAGTATCATCAATGGATAGAAAGTTTTGTGGATGGTCCACTTAAGTTGACATAAGAATTTCTCAAATAGTAGATACACTCTTTAGGTCGTAGGCAACTACACCTCCTAAACCATTTCATTTACACTTACATCCCTAGACTCCAGTCGACATTTCTTTCTTAAAGTTAAGATGTCTCATGGCAACAATGATGTAAATTAAGTTGCTAAAAAAATTTAAAAAAAAAAGAATCACTAGATCGTCCTCAAAATTTAGGATAAAAACTAACATCGTCCGAGATTATGGATACAAGGGTCAATAAATAGTTTAACATACATAAATGAATACACCAATTTAGTAAATAGGACATATTAAACTTATTCATATACGTGTTCATGCACATCAAACTTTTGTGACACGTCAGATTCAACCTTTGCTGCATCGGCAACAAGACTAAGCTTCATATGCTCAATCACAATTACTACAATCTCGAGGAAAAAAAAAACAAGAAAACTCATTTTCTTCCAAAGAATAATTTTACAACGTCACATGCCAAAAAGAATAAATACGACCTTCATTACAGATCACCGTGACCAAAGAATGCATACAATCAGAAGAGCTCTATATATAACACGTTACATATCCCGCAAAACAACCAAACTTTACCTTATCTTCTTCAAGCACTTTACCTTCTCAAAATCTGGAATGGCATAGGTTTTCTCAATCTCCCATGCAAGATGAGACATCAAATTGAACGAAGATTTGACGCCCTTCTCGTCTGTAACTTCTCTCGGGAAAGGAATTCTTGCTGCAAACACTCCCTCATCGGAGTATAGATACAAGTCAAACCCTAGACGATCTACCCATATTATTTTCGCAGCTGTTGCCTGACATTGGATATAGATGTCAAGGAAAGATGATATATCAAACGTTGAACATTGAATTTAATGTAGTTCTAGTTTCTTTGTTCAATATTTAATGCAAGCACTAGGTTTCTAACGAAATTCTTTTTGCGCAAATAGTCTAAAAAGCTGAAACCTTGACTTAACAGACTAATGGGAGTTAGAGATGATCTTATTAACACTATAAAGAACATTTTTTGGGCAACACTTGAACAGTTCCACTTACAAGTAGGGGCATATCGACATATTAAACTTTGTAATAAAGTAGAGCCGTAGAGGTCATCAATTTTTAAAAAAAAATTACCATATTACAGCAGTAAGAAAAGGATCACCACTTTAATCCGACAAAAGTCCATAAAGGACCGAACGAATTTCTTATTGGTTATCAACCTCATATTTGCTGAAATCCACAGATATATACAACTAATTAGGTGGCTGAACAATCCAGCATTATTGTTAAATAGTTTAAGCTCACACAACCAAGGAGTAAATCCTGAAAATTTCGCTAGATTAGCAATAAATCTATTTGACAAGCGGAAAAGATTAGCATGTTGAACCTTCTCGGTAGACAAGACTAAAAACCTTATGTTACTTGATAACAAACCCAACAATTTGTGCATAAAGTAAAGCTTTGAAAGATACCCTGTATCTAAGCTGGAATTGACTGATCATAATAACTGTAGTATGAGGTTTACCATCCCTTCAGTGTATCAAAGTAATGCTAAAATAATGCAGATTTATTAAGGTACTATTTCTTTTACCAAAACGCATCAGATTTCAACTAGTAATCGTCTAATATATGATGGGGAAAAAAAGACCACGGCGGTATAACAGTTAAGGGAATAGATAGGCAGCTCATAGCATTTGAGGGAACTATATAGCTTATAAAATTTGTGGCTTATGTTCATAATAGTCCCATACCTGAAATTCTGACTCCACATAAACCTTGCATAACCGCTGGACATCTTCAACATGTTGAGAATTCATCTCCTCCACAATTTTTTCAGCAAAGTTTCGAAGAGGATCTGGTTGTGCATTTAGATATTCTGAAGATGTAACCCATATGCCTTCCTGGAAAAAATTCATCTCTCACTTAAACAACTCGATTGAACTTATCTAAGCCTTTTCGAGTAAGTCTAGCATCTTTTATCATTAAATCTGAAATCTCTGGTAGCTAATCGAACGCAAAGCTCCAATTAATGTGCACATCGTATACAGTGGAAGCCATGTGCAGATGTTAATAGACAAACTTAGTAGATGAATTTACATGAATTCCCTGCCTATTAGCCAGATGGATTTGGCCTTTCCAAATAAGCAGTTTCAACAATAATGTTAATAGTTTATACTGTTCTACGAATCGATTCCAAAACTCTGTAAATGCAGTCACATGAATGAATTAGAAATTAGCAAGAATCAACTAGCATAAAAGTTGGAGAAGGAATCTAAAAGCTCAACTTGTAGTATTTCCCACTCCTAAATACTTGCAATTCAGAGTTAAAATCAAGAAACATCAAGAGGAAAACTAATGATTGAAACATAAGCAGTATGAGAGAAATAGATACTTTTAAGTATACTTTTGGTTTGGTTTGATGCCTCCGATAAAGTTGTTTACAGTAGATAACGCTCAGAGAAGAAAGAAGCTAGTAGTAAGAAGTGTGCTGTGTCATGCAGATAACACATGAACGTCTTCCCTTTTTAACTATAAATTTGTTACAATTATATTGAACCTTATAATGATATGATACAGTTGTAAACTTGTAGGTTGGCCCGCCTTAAATGAAGAGAAAAAGGTAGCATGTCGAAGTCTTCACAGTGATCTTTGAACTCTAGTGTTATTGTCATATAGTTTAACATTTATCACTGAAATCACTTTAAAACTACTTCCATCTCTTATTTTTAAACCAATTTAGGTGTGTAAATCAAGACAAATAGTATCATCCATAGATACCTCACGATAGACTTCCTGTGAAGCTTAAGTACTGAACTCACAAGTGAAGGAATTTCAGCATCAGCAGCAGAATCAGGAAAAACAGGCGGCGGTCGACCGGTCCGGTCGACCGGATTCGTGCACAAGGGTTCCTGTGCGTTTGGAAGGAGGTAAGAGAGAGAATCATTGCATCCAATTGTGAGAGAGCTTTGAGAGATCTAGAGCTTTGTTTTAGGGTTTGGTCTGAGAGATTTGTAACCCTATTTGTATTCTCTTGATTTCTAGTAGAAAGAACTCCCCCCTCCTTGCCCCGTGGACGTAGGCAACTTGCCGAACCACGTAAATTGTGTGTTCTTGCTGTGATTGTGGTTTGCATATTGTTTGTGGTTTAGTTCGAGTTATTGTTCGTGTTGCCCTAGAAAGCTTCCGCCGCGCACAACAATTGGTATCAGAGCTAGATCGACAACATGGGAGATGCAAGCACGTCAGGTTCGTCTCTAACAAAGGCGATACAGAGTCTGAGCATCAATAACACGAAGATTGATGTTCCGAAGTTCGATGGCAAGATCAATTTTGGATTGTGGAGGTGTCAGGTGATGGATGCTTTGGATGCACAGAATTTGGAGGAGACTCTTGAGTTAAAAGAGAAACCCGCTGAGTTGGAGGATAAGGTTTGGAGAAAGATGAACAGTAGAGCTTGTGGTGTTATTAGGTCATGCTTGACGCCGGATCTTATTTATGATGTTATGAACGAGACGTCGGCGAAGAAGATGTGGGAAACACTCAATGAGAAATATCTTACGAAGAGCATTGAGAATCGGCTTCACTTGAAGAAGAGATTTTACCAGTTCAAGATGAAGAGAGGGGTTTCCATCAGGGAGCATGTCAACAATTTCACTAAGCTACTTTCAGATATGGCCAATGTTGATATTATAGTTGAGGATGAAGACAAGGCGATGCTACTTCTGTGTTCGTTGCCCGAAGATGATTATGGTACGTTCGTTCTCACTATGATCAATGGAAGAACTACAGTTAGCTACAAGGAGGTGACCTCAGCTTTGGTGAACTATGAGTTGAGGAAGAGTGATGGTGAACCCTCCGAGAAGGCATCGGGAGATGCGTTAGCAGTTCGAGGCCGAGATCCAAACCGTCGTCAGTTCAACCGCTCAAAGTCAAAGAATAGGAGTGCCTATAAGAGTGTTGGTAGAAATCAATGTCGGTATTGTAAAGAAGAAGGACATTGGAAGATTGACTGCCCAAAGTGGAAAGAAAAAGCCGGAAAGAATAAGGGGAAAGCTGCACAAGCTTCAGAAGTGAATGTTGCAAAAGCTATTGGTGAGCATTCAGATTCAGATTCTTCAGGCTATTCATGCCCTGCTTTACCGTCGGTTTGCTATGCGGATTCCACGGAGTGGATGATGGATTCGGGAGCTACATATCACATCTGTCCTAAGAGAGAATGGTTTTCTAGCTTTGAGGAGCTGGAAAGAGGGGATGTCGTGCTTATGGGTAATGATCACGTATGCCCTATTGGTGGTATTGGTTCAGTCCGGATCAGGATGCATGATGGTGTAGTAAGGGAATTGAAGAAAGTGAGGTTCGTGCCGCAGTTGACGAAGAACATCATTTCTCTTGGGACTTTGGAGGCAGCAGGATATCGAGTGATCTTAGAGGATGCTACAGTGAAGGTCACGAAGGGTTCTATGGTGGTGATGCGAGGTGTCAGGGAAAACTACCTATACTACTTGAAGGGCAAGACAGTTACAGGGGGTCTGGCAGCTTCTATCACTACAGAGGAGGACACTACCACCTTATGGCACATGAGACTTGGACACACAGGAGATAAGTCCCTACAGTCATTGGCTAAACAGGGGCTATTGAAAGGTGCTAAGACCTACAAGATGGAATTGTGTGAGCATTGTGTACTTGGGAAGAAGACTAGAGTGAAGTTCGGCACCGCTGTTCATAACACCCAAGGTACATTGGATTATATTCACACGGATGTTTGGGGTCCTTCCAAGAACACATCTCTTGGTGGGGCCAACTATTTTGTCACTTTCATTGATGATTATTCCAGGAGGAATTGGGTATACCCGATGAAGCATAAACATCAGGTCCTGGATATTTTTGTGGAGTGGAAAAAGAAAGTGGAGCTGCAGACAGGTAGAAAGGTGAAGACTCTACGTTCAGATAACGGTGGAGAGTACAAGAGTGATCCGTTTCTGCAGTTTTGCCGGGATCACGGCATTAGAAGACACTTCACAGTTCGAGAGACACCGCAACAGAACGGGGTGGCTGAGAGATTGAACCGTACCTTGCTGGAGAAGGTGCGGTGTATGATGACGCAGAGTGGATTGCCTAGATCTTTTTGGGCCGAGGCGTTGGTTTATGCGAGCCATCTTGTGAACAGGTTGCCGTGCACTGCGATAGACGGGAAGACTCCTTTGGAGCGTTGGTTTGGTTCGGAGGCTAGTGACTATGAGTCGCTTCGGATATTCGGGTGTCCAGCTTATTATCATGTCAGTGATGGCAAATTAAATCCGAGAGCGAGGAAAGCAGTCTTTGTGGGATTTAGGGATGGAGTCAAAGGCTTCAAGTTATGGGATCCACAGGACAAGAAGATAGTTATTAGCAGAGATGTCACATTTGACGAGGCGTACATGATGAGGCCTCGAACCCCTCAGCAGGTGGAGGGAGACCAGACAGGAGAGATATCGCAGCAGGTGGAGGATGATGTGACTCCACCCACTCCAGAGAACACTGTATCCATTGAGGCTCCTACAGAGGTGACACTGGGAGGAGATGAGATGACAGATGGGCAGATACAGGATACAGTAGATCATGGGACTCAGGAACAGGGTCATGTTCAGAGGACCATTGCAGCAGATAGACCGAGGAGAGAGATTCGTCGGCCAGCTAGGTATAATGATGTCATGGTCGCATATGCATTATCAGTGGAGGTCGTTGATGATATGGTTCCAGCCACATTCAGGGAGGCAGAGTCTAGCCCCGATTCGATCAGGTGGAGGGAAGCTATGGAGGAGGAGATGCGGTCTCTTCAGAAGAACGACACTTGGACACTTGCACATCTACCTAAGGGTAAGAAAGCTATTGGTTGCAAGTGGGTATATGCGAAGAAGGAGGGATCTTCTATTGGGGACATTCGGTTCAAAGCCAGATTAGTTGCCAAGGGATATGCACAGCTTGAGGGCATTGATTACAACGAGGTATTTTCACCCGTTGTGAAGCATTCGTCGATTCGGATTTTATTGGCGTTGGTGGCACAGTTGGATTTGGATTTGGTCCAGATGGATGTGAAGACAGCCTTTCTACACGGTGATTTAGATGAGGAGATCTACATGACACAACCACAGGGTTTCAAAGCTGCAGGAAAGGAAAATTTGGTTTGTAAGCTGAAGAAGTCTCTTTATGGTTTGAAGCAGTCACCAAGACAGTGGTATAAGAGATTCGACGGCTTTATGATTGGCCGAGGGTACACAAGGAGCCCATATGACCCATGTGTTTATATGCACAAGCTACAGGATGGTGAGCTCATATATTTGCTTTTATATGTTGATGATATGCTTATTGCTTCCAGGAATTCTTCGGCTATTCGAAAGCTGAAAGAGGAGTTATCATCCGAGTTTGAGATGAAGGATCTTGGAGAGGCAAAGAAGATATTGGGTATGGAGATCGAGCGAGACAGGGTGAAGGGGAAATTGAAGCTTACACAGAAGAGCTACTTGCAGAAGATGTTGAAGAAATTCAGCTTTGATGGCAATGCAAAAGCAGTTAGCACACCATTGGCTCCCCACTTCAAGCTTTCAGCGTTGATGTCACCTGTTTCAGTTGAGGACAGAGATTATATGTCGAAGGTCCCATATGCTAGTGCAGTAGGTAGCTTGATGTATGCGATGGTGTGTACGAGGCCAGATTTGTCACAGGCCGTGAGCATGGTATCGAGATACATGCATGACCCCGGGAAGGGTCACTGGGAGGCCGTGAAGTGGATTCTACGGTATGTTCGAGGCACCGTGGATGTTGGTTTAGTGTTTCAGAAGGATGAGAAGGACGGGCAGGCTTGTATTGGTTATGTGGATTCAGATTATGCTGGAGATCTTGACAAACGCCGGTCTACGTCAGG